CAAAGCATGGGAACATCTAAGGGTTGTGAAGGGCTATATAAAGGTAATGTTGGGAATATGGTTATGTGTGATAGAGATTATGTGGGGGTTATGCTTGGCAAAGAAACGACCTTCAGGTTAGAGCCCATGCTGTGCGAACAGGTTGATTGTAGCAGTGGCGGATTCGACATGGACTGGCATAGGCCCCACAAAAAAAGGTGCAGACCTTTGGAACTGCGCATCCCTAGATATCCAAATACATTCTATAAACCCTGTTTCCCGACATACAACCCTATGTATCCCCCACATCCTAGACCCTAATCATTACCCTAAACCCTAAACCCTTACCCCTAGACCCTATACATCCCATTCCAGGAATGTGGGATTTCATTGATAAGGGGGCTAGATCTTCAAAGCTGGTGCCCATGCTTGAGTCCAGGAATTTCAATGGCTTGCCAAAGTTCGATTAGTGTTTAGGTTTTAGGGTTTAGGATCAGTAGGGTTTAGGGTTTAGGGTCTAGGGTTACCACGGGATATTACGAGTACTGCAAAAGATAGTGGACGCTGCCATATCACGGAGCATCAACTCGGAGAAAAAAATGGAACATTAAATGTAAACTAGGGATCATGTAGTGGTTCATCAGGATGACATGGGCAACTGTCAAGATCAGGTTTACCAAGGGATAAATAAGTGTGGACAAAGGGGTGCCTCTGGTAGTTCATTACAGTCCCTCAGAAGTACCCATATCCATTAATTATATTCATTGGAGATTTAAACTGTAGCATACTGTAGCTCATGTGAGTAGTATAGCGATGAGGGTTTAGGGCTTAGGGATAAGGACCCCGCTGCTCATCTTACGGTATGGAGCATTGTGGATGGGAGCAGTGTGGTCCACACTATAAAGGGAGATTCAGCTTATAACCTCTTTGTGGTTACACCATTGCTATCAGAAGGACAAAGCCTTAATTGATTCAACCAATATGACCCCTCAATTAAGTTGGATCTTGGGTAAGTACGCACCACTGCTGACCTACCGTATTATTGTTCATGGAGGATATCCAATCCAGTAACCTGGAACTCGTGAAATGGTGCAAGGTTCGCTTCACCAACAGATACGGTTTGGGGTTTCGGGTTCAGGGTTCAAGGTTGAGGGTTCAGGGTTCAAGGTTTATGGTGCATGGTTTAGGGCTTAGGGTTTCAGATGGAGGCTAGTCGCCCGCCATCACGACCGGAGGAAGTTGCCTGTTTGTACTTGCCAGCTAAGATCCCTTTTTGGGAATCCGCTTTTGGGATCCAGCTGACACGTTGAATTAGTAGTTTTTTCCTCTGTTCCTAATCGAGGGCGGACCACGTATATGTTTCTTCTCAGCTTCAGTTTAACCTAATGGGTACGCATTCTAATGGAACCTTGGGGCTAAGTATCCTTAGCAATGTAATAGAAACACTATTCAAGCCATTCAATACCACAGGGGCTTAACTTACTTTCAACATCATGGTGCTGAGGGCCTGAACTAGACCCGAAATTGACATTGGTCACTATGTTGGCCTCCACATTCCCCTCCTGCTGGCTAATTTAAAGCGACCCCACCTCACCCTAAATGGTGGTTTATAAGGGAATAGTACCAAAATGGCCTTTAATTGGGAATTGAAATTCTTCTTAGCCTGTCTTGGATAGGTTCTCCTAGCGCTTGCCCTTGGGCAATCCCTTACGTTAGCCAGCGGGCTCCAGAGCTTCATCCAGGCCCTTCATGTAAATCCCTGATTAAGCGACGTATGGTTTGTGTAGACTGTAGAAGGGGTTAGGATTTGTTGTGTAGAAGATTGTCTCATGGTGGCCGTTTTCATGCCTTGGACAAGCTTTGTTCAGGAAAGAGGTGCATTAATCAGGGGCCTGCATTGCCCTCCTGACCCGCCCTTTGCAGCGCTTGCCCAATGCTGCACGTGCACTTGGTTTCGGGCCACCAGCTTGCCACATTTGCGCTGCAACTGGTTTGTTGTTGAGTACTCACCTTCCCTTTTGGCAACACACGCTTTCATTAACTGGTGCGCACCATAGTGTTGTAGGGCGGCGGGGCGGGGTAGGATGTCCACAAGGGGATGGAATCAAGAGTTTAGCGCTCAGGCTCTCCTGGTGTAGTGTAGTGTGCACAGTCCTCCTTGGGACTTTGCTTGGACCTTAGACCCTTGACCCTTTGGGATTCCCTTATACTCCTATTACAGGGACCTAAGGGTTAACCCTTAGTAGGGGTCCTAAGTGCCACGTAGGTCGTTGTTTTGATTTTCTTGGGGCTCCCATTCTGGGTGGTGCATACATTGCTGTTGGCGCTGGCTAGTTGCAGTTTATACAGGGACCATGGCAAGTTCCGTCTTCCTGTAATCCTCACTACAGGAACCCCAAAAAGAGACCCCTGATTTTGAAAATCCTGAACCCTACATAGCAATCTACTTCCCTTATACCCCCTTAACCCTTTCAGACCCCAGTCTTGGAAACCCCCCAATGAGAGCAGCCGTATCTATTTGCGTAAGACACAGATGAAGACTGGACTCTGCGGTGTCTTTCCTCTAAAGCCAGCACGCGCTTAGGAACTATACGGGGATTTGGGATTGAACCAGATAGGTCGAGCAGTTGTCATGTTTTCGTAAGTCTTCATGTTCCAACTTGCGGACGAGATCATCACGTGTTGTTGAGCCCGTTCAGATCAAATAGGAGGGGAAGCAGATAGTGAACAAGGGGTTCAAAATACAGTCAATCAGCCACACAATAAGTAACAGTACATAGTCGCGCATACTAACATCAACATGCTCTTCCTGCTGTTATTCATCAGCTCCGTCCGCGCTCGCACTATGTCCTCCCATTGCATTGTAAATGGCTTGTCCTTAAACCCGGGGGTTCGACAAACAACACGTTCTTTGCGTTGTTTGGATGCCTAGGGTAGTGTCAAAAAGAAGCCGTAAACACTCAACCCTTAAACCCTCAACACTCAACCCTCAACCCTGCAGCCCTTCAATTTCACTCGGCGTCCCAGTGCCCGATGATCAGATTCCTCCTGGAAGCCCACAAGGGGTTTAGGAGGGTTTAGGGTTTAGGGCTTAGGGTTAGGGTTTAGGGCCCAGAGACTGCGAGTGCAAAGGGGACTAGGTTGGCTTCTTTGCTTGGGGAGGGTGCTTGCCGCTGCAAATCCCTAAAGATTGAATAGAATAGTATCCCAAACGGGGATACTATAGCTTTCAGTATACAATGCCTTTACATCCTCCTTTTTTCGTTACAGTGCTTTGTAAACACGAATATAATCTACTTAGAACAGCTACCAAAGACACCTGTCAATTGGTTTCTCAAAGTAGGCGTACTTTTTTGAAATCCAGGAGATTATGGAGCTGCCTCTCTCGCGCACAATGTATTGGGGTTTAGGGTTTAGGGTTTAGAATTAGAAGCTCCGATTTTTTCGGTTGGGTCCTCAGACTACAGGCTAAAGCCCTGACATCCTGAGTGAAAGATTGGAGCCGTAATCAACAATCCTGTATCCGAAAACCTTGAGACCCTTCACCTTGTAACCCTCAATCCCTACACCACACAAACCGCCTAATACATCCTTATGCAACCCCAGTAACTCGAAACCCCAAGCCCGAAACCCGAAAGCTAAACCCTAAGCCAACAAAACCTGATTAATAAACCACCTCCCCTTAATCGGGATTATAATATGGATCCTAATGTTAACAAAAGGAGGGCTTTTATGAATCCTGGGTCTACATGAAGCCCCTAAACCCTAAGCCCCTAATCCCAGGCAGGAGCTTCAGGAGTGGGAGGACCAAACCGTCCGAGCCCTGAAGCGACAGTTGGCAATTCACTGCGGGCGACCGCGCTTTAAGCAGCGGCTTCTAGGGCAGGACACATGGAAACGGGGGGAACCCTAAACCCTCAACCCTAGGGGGTGTTTTAGGGTTTATAGGGCTTAGGGTTTAGGGTCAGGGCTTCTGGGCAGGACGTAGGGGTTTTGAGATTTGTTCAAGGGTTATAGGGACATGTTGGGTTAGGGCCTATAGGAAGGGCGAAAGGAAACTGGGCGTTTATCTAGGGATTGTCGAGGGTTGTTAATTTCCGAACAGGGGAGAATCAAACGGAACATCATGTGGTAAATGAAGCAGAAACAATTGTTTTGGGTTAAGAGTTCTAGGGCTCCAGGGGTGAAAGTCCCCCTGAAGTAGATAGAATATGGCTTTGGGTAAATTATAACAAGATCCCCATATCATATACCCCATATTCTTTCTACTTAAGGGGGACTACAGGGGTTTAGGAGCCTGGAGGTGCAGGGTGTAGGGGTTAGGCAGTGCAGGTCGTGTTGGGGTTCTAGACTTTAGGATTTAGGGCTAAGAGGGTTGGGGTCTAAGGTTTAGATGTTATTCTAGATAAGGCCTAAGGTGCTATGTATTCGTACAGTTGTCGTGTAGAGTAGGATGAGAACTTCCTTTCGTTCTTAGAACTTTGTAAGAACGATAAAAGCTTACCTGGTGAACCCCACAACAATTAATTCTGCGCATGTTGGTGTTTACTATAGCACAGACGCCAGGGCTTTAACGGGGAGTATTCGACAGAACTTATCAGGCCCTTTTGTAGGGGCCCTGTCAGGATTGTCTTGAGAATCTCACATGATATGTACCGCTGTCAATGCTAAGGATCATCATGTGCAAAGGACCCGATGCGTCTTGAAGGCATATGTGGGCTTTCTATGGCTTTGTAATGGGGAAGCAATGTGATTGCTTTTAAATTCTCCAGTAAAATCCCATTTGCATTAGTTGTAGATGGCCCTAGCTCATAAAGCAGGATTTTGCGGGCGCATTTGCCTGGACATGTTCTCGGAAGTACTGAGGCGTGAAACAGCAAGTACTATATCCTCTGGATGAACAGGGTCATTTACCGGGCATTGTCCAAGAAATAGTAGTTGTGGTAGCAGGCTTAGCGCCCAAACATGAATTCAAGAGACGTCTAGGACCCTAAGCCCTTAGACCAGCAGCTCATCGGCAGGATGGCACGATTCTGCACGACAGTATCCTCCTGGGCGAACCTGCGGAAATGCAACTGGTGCTTCTGGATTTTGTTGAAGCTTCCGATGACCAAGCGCTGGAGCTACAAGCAGCTGCAAGGCGCAATAACGTCCCAAAGGTGGAGGACCTGTTACAGAAACCTCTGAACCCCGACCCAGAAGGTCGCCAGACCCCCCTGGTGAAAGCAGCCTACCACGGCCACACGGAAGTCGTACGCTTGTTGCTGGAGGCAAGAGCTAACAACGATAAAGTCCGATACGATGGCTCAACTCCCCTGGTCGTGGCCTGCGCAAACGGCCATTTCGATGCCGCCCGGCTGCTGCTGGAGGGAGGTGCAGACAAGGACAAAGCAGGACCCAGTGGCGGAACCCCTCTGTTCCTCGCCTGTCAGAATGGACACTTACAAATCGTCTTGTCATTGCTTCAGGCCAAAGCCAACAAGGATGCCGCCCGTGACAATGGATCCACCCCTTTGATAATTGCTTGCCAGCAGGGCCATGTTGAAGTCGTTCGCACGCTGCTGGAGATCCAGGCAGATGTAAACAAGGCCTGCAGTGGAGGAATGACACCCCTACACGTGGCATGTGACTGGGTTGCTGTTAGGTTTAGGGTATATTATCCCTCTATAATGGAGAATCAAATGGAAAAGAAAATGGAAAATGAAATGGAAACTGGGGAAATATAGGGATTTACGGAACTTAATTTAAGTCACCACAATGGGTATATATAGTAATTAATGGGGTTCCCCTAATATAGAAACTTAAGTTAAGTTCCTTAACAGCAACCCAGGTGAGCAGGGAGGTCTGCAAATCGCCAGGGCATCTCGGGCAGTTCTGAGGGCTGGCGGTGATGATGCTGGCCCCATCGAACGACTTCAGCTCGCTTATCAGCTTCGCCGTTTGGCCGTCGTTCGCTTATTGCTGAAGGCTGGCGCTGACGTGGATAAGGCCCCTACTGCTACCGGCTACACGCCTTTGTTCAGGGCATGCGAGCAGGGCCATGTGGAGATTGCGCGGATGTTGCTGGAGGCCGGCGCAGACGACAGCAAGCCAACGGATGATGGCTCCAGCCCTTTGCTAGCGGCCTGTGCTCATGGCCATTTGCATGTAATTCAGCTCTTGCTGGTTGCTGGTGCAGACATGAAGCTTGGTCGCCACAACGGTGACACCCCATTGGCCATCGCTTCTCGCCACGGCCATCTTGAGATAGTCCAGAAGCTTGCAGAGGAGCAGCCCTACAAGAAGGCAAAGCTCTCTTGAAGCATTGATATTGAGCATGCTTCTGCTGGGGGGGCTTTGATAGCACTTCTGTCATAAGGGGGCTAGAACTGAAGAGGAAGCGCAGAGAAGATATCAAATCACATGGTCGCTGGTAGGCATCGAAGTAGTTCTATCAAGAAGCCGCGCTTGACTGCCCTGGTGGCCTAAATCCCAAACACGAACCATCAGGCCAAATCAGTACACCAAAGTCCTGAACCCAGACAGACAACAGAGCGCCAGATTTGCATGCCAAGAAAAAAGCTGCATGCGAAGCTGCCCGCCCATGGTTCATGTAGCTTTGGGACACCCTAAACCCCTAAACCCTAGACCCTAAACCCCTACACCCTAAACCCCTAAACCCTAAACCTTAGGAAGGCTTGCTCTGGACTTTTCTAAGATTGATTTAGCGGTCGCACGACATGTCAAATGCAGCAAGTGACCTCTTACTTCCTTCGCAATTCTTCACAGGTGGAGGGAATAGGGTGTTTTAGATGGGCCGGTAAAGGCTTGCTGCGGCAGAGCTTTCTCTTCTTGGTTCACATCAAAATCGTATCATGCGCGATATACCCATCTTATGGCAGCTTAACTTAAGCTCCTTCACAGCAATCCAGTTGGAGGCTTCATGATCAGGCCATCTTCATTTGCATCCCAGACCCTACGGACCATTCCAGGGGGTCCCGATTTCAATTGACGACCCGGGGTCCCCAAGTCCTATGCCGAAAAACCTTGTTATTATTGGGGTGATAATATAGGGATACTGGAAAAATGGAAACGACTAGATTAGAATAGGATATAATGGAGTGATTCCTGGAGCCTGAAGCAGCGATTAAGCACGGGATGAAGCTGTCACTTGGCGGCCTACTGCAACTGAGCATCTCGACCCTTGCTGGAACCCAGTAATATCAACACTCATTAGGGTTTAGGGGTTTAGGTTTTGAGGGTTTATGGTTTAAAGGTTTAGGGGCTTAGGATATCATAAGGGTTTGTTGGAGACAGATGATTTCAAGAAACTTTCGCATGTTCCCGCCGCACCTATGACGGCTGAACCTAGGAGACTTTATCAGGTTTTTTTGTTATCACAGTTCAAGCACGTGAAAAGGGGGCGGGGCTCGATTCCAACATGGTAACTTAATAAGATTGAGGATTCCCTTAGCTTCCCCAATTCCTACCGGGGTCCACAGGTAAACCCTTCATGCCCTCATGTAGCCCTACATAATTTGATACATTCCCATTTGACCTTATATACGCTTATTTCACCCTATGTAACCCCGAAACCCTAAACCCTATGTAGCTCCTTCAATGGGACCATTAATTCTTGCTGCAGACGCTCATGGCTAGGATTCCACATGGAAGCGAGATGTCATGCAGAAGCCTACTCTAGGGGTTTAGGGCTTAGGGCTTAGGGTGTAGGGCTTAGGATTTAGGTTTAGGGTTTAGGGCTTTGGATAAGTCTGTTTTGCAGTCTTTAAAGGCCCGAAGTTGCTATTACTTGCATACTTGGACCCCTAGGACGCAATAATCAGGAATACAGCCCCCTTGCATTCAATGCTGGTCTTCAATATACTCCGAGATCATATCTTAATTGTGTAGGCTCTTACATTACATCCCTATGAATAGGTCAATCCAGTTTCCACTATATGATATTCCATCTGGTTCTCCTTTATTCAGAACCGCAATAAAACCCCCAAACCCAATATATTCCAAGACCCCCTTCAAAGGTGCCAAAGGTTTCCATTGAATTTTACAAGTGATGTTCTTCTTGATTCTCCACGCCCTACCCGAAGCCATAGAGCCTGTGTTGGGATCTAACCTTCTGTTTTCTTTCTTTTCCATTAAGTTCTCCCTTCACCAGCATAAGAAGGGAGATCATAATCTGCTACCTAGCATGGGCACGTAGTTGCCGCGAAAGCACCTTGACGGGCTCCAGGATGGAGACGCAAATTTTGCCGAAGCTGTTCCGAAAACAAGACCCCAGATCCTGCTCCCTGCAAGCGTGCGTGGGGCCCTTAAATCAAATGCCTACAGACCAACTATCTCTCAACCGAGAACCCCGAAGCCTTTGGCCTAAAAAACGTCTTGAGCACCCCCCTTGTTGCCGAGCAGGCAGTTTGTTGACACTGCTGAGGCTCTTAGAGCCCTAGTATAATCAACAGCGTCTATTTGGTAGTTTCCCAAAATTAGGGTACCCCAATATAGACCCCAAAATACTATAGTCCTTGTTATGGGAACTCCTAAAAAAGGACACCTAATTTTGAGAAACCTCCATTTTGGCTGAGGAAATTCAGTAGCTTGGAAAACCCTGCTCGCGCCGCAGGCCGCCATGAACTTCAGCGGGATGCGCGCAATGATCGCGTTTCGACGAGCGCTGACAGCCCCTCATCCTAGCAATAAGAGCTTCTCTCAAGCCTTGCCGGGGTATGCGGTTTAGGGTATAGAGGGTTTAGGAATTCGGGATAACACCTAACATCCCCATATAACCATTGTAATTAGTCTTGTAGTCTGTTAAAATTCCTTTTCCTTTACTGATAATGAAAATCTTCCCAAGCCCTAACCCAACATATGAGGTATCTTAGGGGGAATTACAAATACCAGCGGTGGGGGATGTTCACTATGAGTATGAAGGGGGTAATACACCCCAAATCTTTGTTCGAATTAATGAAATTGTGATGCTCGTCTTACAGGACCTCACTGTCCTCTTGAAAGTGGGAGGCCGTGAGGGAGATACCGAGGATGCATAGGGCTTCTGCCAGGATTGTAGGGCTCCCATTTAATAGTAATAATGACTCAGTGTTAAGGGTGTTACTACTATGATTTACAGGGAAAACAGTAAGCAGAACAAGATTGGAAATCGTAGCAACGATTGCAGCAATGGTACTAACAGCAATAATGGCATCAACCGTAATAGTAGAGCTAACAGTGGTGAGTGGTAACAGTAATAGTTGCAACCCTGATACTTATAATCGCTGCTTAGCTGAATTTGAGAGCGGATCCTGCAGCTTCCGGCCCTAATGTATCAGGGCATCCCAAACAGGTGCTCCGCAACCTACCATACGTACAGATAGACGTATATATATATATATGTATGTATGTATATACATAATATATATCATGTGTGTACACGTACCTATGTGTGTGACGTATCTGTTTACTCACGGACTATCTACCCGAACCCCAACCCGGAATCTTTACCCCTCATTGTACAGCGCATGCAACATATCAATCGATTCGAGGAACATCATCATGCCGCCTACATGAATCGCGAGGGCCGACTTTACTACACGATCGGCGGCCTCCTCAGTATCCGCTCACTTGAATCTAGGGTTTAGCGGTTAGGAGCAATTAATTGTGGTTGGGCTACTTATATCACCCTAATTATACCAGGGATACTGTGGCAACTTTTCTCTAAACCTTCATTCGATGATTACTCCTTGGTACCCCGTCATTTCCGGAAAGCAGCCAAGTGCATCTAAGAATCCGATTGTTTTTTGAATGTACGGGGTCCCCCAAACAGGATGCTGAGAGTATGCGGGGGGGGGGATGCACTGACTGTTGCTTGACACTGTTCAGCTGTATGGAATCACATCTTGCTTGTCGGTACACTGGCAATTGCCAGACATTTGACACGGGTCCGTCAATCCAGGGTACAGGCTCTCGTGGTAGGGACTAGGGTAGATTCATGTCCAAAAGCTTTCCCAGTATTGTGCTTCAGCTTATGCATGTATGCATGTATGTGGTCAACTACAATAGTATATTGGGGTTATATAGGGATAACGGAAAAGGAAAGGAAACGACTACAGTATAATCGGGTTATATAGGGATGATATTATACAGCGTTGTAGCTTATGCACAGGCGGCGTTGCCAGGTCCTCCATTAGCCAGTCCGATGTGCTAGCTATGTTGTTTCCTGCTGCGTTTGGGCTTCCTGCTTATGATGGGGGCCCTGGGCATTGCGGGTAGGCAATCGATCAGATTATATATGCAAGTTTGCCTAATCCATTGGGAACTCGGAAGGGGACTATAGTTTCGACAGCCGCCCAGACCCTGTGAGGGCGTTTCCCCAAATTCATCATAACAAGGATTATCGTATGTTGGGGTCCATATTGGAGCCTCCTTATTTGCAGAATTGCTGTATTCATCTACCCTTACGAAAAGCAACCGCTTCGGTTGTCTACTGTCGAGGAGTCCAGGTTTCATCAAGGGGTCCTAGCTCTGCCGCCAGAGCATGTACAACACGCATGCATAAGATTTCGAGGGGGCATCAGCCTATCAGACTACTTGTCTTCTTCAAAGATACAGGCTTTAGGGTTTTGGGTTTAATTAGGGTTAAGAGCTTTGGATAGTACAGGTTCTTCTTTGCTACAGGGTTTAGGGTTTGGTTTGATTAGGGTTTAGGGGTTAGGGTTTGGGATGTTACAGGTTCATCTACAGGTTCTGTCTAACAGCTCACATGGCGGAGGCAACCTGGATTACCGTATCGATACGCCTGATGCGATCATCACCAACGACACGGATTTGTTGCTTCAGTTCCTCTTCGAGTTCGTCTTTGGCGGGTTGCCTGGATGCAGTTTTGAGATGGGAGTTTCTTGAGTTGATCCCCATGGAACCGCTCGAAGGGACCCCCCCCACCAGTCGTACTCCCATCATATCGCTAAGAATACCGCAAATCATTTGAACAGTTCTGGTCCGAGTCTGAGTGTGACGGGGGCGCTGCAAACCATCCCATTGGCAGCACCCTATCCAAGAACCGAGAGGATTACCGATAAGCAGTAGTTGCAGCAGAAATGAAGCTGGCCGTTGCGATCAACGTCGCCAGCAGCGGCAGGAGGGGAGTAGGCAGTGGAGGCGGAGGAGGAGGAAGAGGAGGGGCGGGAGGTGGGCCAGGGGGTTGGGGGGAGGGGCTAAATTGAGTGGTATGAGCAGCTTGCAGTTGGCAGGCATGAAGCATCATGTGCTAATCTGCACGTGTTGACATGAACTTCTGAACAGTCGAAGAGCATTTGGATTATCGGTGTTTTCCCCCAGAATAGTCCCCGCAGTCGTCCGTATAGCCCGTTCGCCGTTCCTAACAGTTCATGAAGAAGTTGCCATGCCTCCTGTCTTTACAACCAACCCAAACGCTGAACTTCAATGGTGCCTTATAAGGACGAGACTCAAACCCTGTTTTTTTGGGGGGTTAAGGTTCAGGGCTTGGGGGCTTAGGGTGAGAGCCTACGGGAACATCGACACGCACAAGGACCTGTTCTAAAGCTGTTCTTGAGTCAACCGCTTTGGCTAAAGCATGCTAAAGCTCCCAGGAACAGATCATGCTCTGGAAAACGGCATACTTCAAGGGGCGCTTGCTGTCAGGAACTCCCATTCGAAGGGTAGCCCCACTTTGAGTAACGCCTTCACCGTCGACTGTAAGCCTTCATCCCTAGTACCAGTGAGACGTCGGGCTTGTACCTATAGTGCCCCTTTGGTAGATAGAATATGGCTTTGGGTAGATTATCATAAAGTCTCCATGTGCCCCCTATTCTATCTACGTAGGGGTGGCCTTAAACCTTATATTCTATCTACTCAAGGGGGACTGTAGCGTGGTGATTCGCCAGGTCCTTGACCAAAGGTGCTAGGGGCATTCCAAGCCCGACTCAGAGTACTGACTAGTGGGGCAAAAGCGGTTTAGGGTTTAGGGAAAATGAAAAACAAAGCCATAATCAAGCCTGAACCGTTTCATCCTCATCCGTAAGCCTTGAATCTCACTTACAAGACCATAGACCTATGCCTTCAAGCCCTTCAGTTCCTATACTGCAAGCTGACTGGTAGTCTAAATGCCAGACATCTCCTCAACCTTCTCATCCCTAAGCCCTATACTTACAGTCCCTTTTCCCTTACATTCCTCGGCCCAACAGCTACGATCCCTAAACTCTACACTGACAATCGCTCAGCCCTAACAATCACTTCGCCCCATAATCCCAAAACCCTGTTATACACCCCAAAAGCTACAAGTAAGTCATTCCCCCTTGCACAAAAGGTAATAGGAGTTGTCATAGGCCCTAAGTAAGATCCCTTCAAGGACAGGTACTGCAAGGGGGAATGACCAACCCAAGCCCTAAACCCTAAACCCCAAGCCCTAAGCCCTAAACCCTAAACCCTAAACCAGATTGCTCCATGAAATGGTGGAAGTGGCAGAGGACGCGGCCCAGGAAGGCAGGGATGATGGCAGGCTTCCACTAGATGAGGACCAAGGCATGGATGTGAACACCGAAGGCTCGGAAACCTCGGATAGTAGCTTGGAGCCGCTTCAAGATGGCCCTGGTGAGGCAGGACCAGTACCCCAAGCAGATGGAGATGATCTTCCTCACCATGGCCAACCCGATGAAAGGGATGATCCGGGAGTGCGTGGAGGAGGCGAACCGGGACTACCTGGACGCGAGTAGAGGTGCACGCTGAGGGCTCGAGCACTGCGGATGGCAGTTTGGAGCCGTTACAAAATGGACCTGATGGCGAGGAACTTGTGGCCCGAGGGCATGATGATGATCCTCTTCAAGATGTACAGCCTGCTGAAGGGGACGAGTCGGGAGTGCAAGAGGGATACGAACCGGGACTACCTGGCCGAGATAGAGGCGGGCCCGAGCGAGAAAGCATGCCAGTCCGAAGTACATGTGGAGAAGTACCTCAGCCAGATGTGCGACTGGATGGAAGGCCCAGTGCAGTGCAGGAGTGGCAACGCCAGGAAGCAAGCAGTGGTGGGGATGGGGTTGGTAGTGATGACGCAGCACCGCGGCTGCGAAGATGTGGCGACGAACCTCTTCCAGCTGCACAGCCTGAAGGAGGGCATGACCCTGCAGTATGTGAATGGGAAAATCTGGGGACACTTGGTGGTGATGTCAGAGAAGGTGGACAGCATGAAGCGGCCACGGCATCGACATCCCTGGAAGCGAGCGGTGATGGAGCCGGCAGTCCAAGCCTTGCAGCAGAAGATGAAGGGCTAGAGGTGATGACCATTGAGGTGAACAGTGAGGAAGATCTGGGGATGCAGCAAGTGGAAGAGTACAATGATGATGGTGACCAAGTGGTTCTGATGGCATGGGATACGGGCATCCCACCGTGGAGACGCACCTATACGGTCAGGGACAGATGGCTCAAACGTGGCAATGATGAGGGCTGGCAACGAAGACGACATCGTGAATGGAAGTCTGAACACTGGAGAGGCTCCTCGCCGAAGCGGTCAAGGGCTAAAGGCAAGGGAAAAAACAAGCCATCGAGGATGGCAAAGGCCAAGCCGAAAGCGAGACCCTTTTCCATATGGACAGCTCGAGGAAGACATGATGGAGAAGCAGAGGAATGTGAAGACGAGCAGGATGAAGTGGTGGAGGTCGATGTCGAGGAGGAACAGCCCTTGGCCAGTCATGTGGGGCCCAGACCGGACAACGAGCCCTTCACCATTGAGAACGCAATGCACTTGTGGAGAGAGTTCCTTGACATGGAGGATGATGGAGGTCTGGGATACCCAGAATGGGCCCTTGATAGGGTTCGCGACACCATTGAAAACTGGCCAGCGGAGGACGTTAGCATTTTGCTGGCGGCACATCAGCAGTTCATGGGGCTTGTGATGGCACAGGTGGCTGAGATTGCGCAAAGGAGGATTGCGAGGGCCCGCGAGGAAAATGCCCGTCCCTCCGAGCGGGATGACACCAGCCTTATGCAGGCTTCCAGGGTGGTGAGGGCACCGGCAACTGGCATCTCTACGTTTGGACTTGAACTTCAGTTCATGACAGATGAGCTTGCAGCCATGGATGTGGAAAAAGCCAGGGTCAGATCGTCGATGTTGAGGGGGTTGTTGGCGAGGAGGTACGGATGTGCGTCCGGAAGACAGGCAATGGGCACACGTGCCATGGCCCTGGAGGCTGCAGCTGTGGCCTTTGATGATGGTGACTCCGCGGTGGAGAGCAAAGTGCCGGAGGCAGTTGAGGATCGCCAGTGGGGACAAAGATGGTGGAAGCGACTTCTGGGCCCAATGGTTGAAGAAGAACGTCAGCTCCGTGAGAAAAGGGCGCAGAGTAGTACTTTGGCGGATGCTGAGACCGTGGAAGAGTCTTTGGAAAGCGTGGACGAGGGCAAGGGCAAGGAAGATGCAAGACCGGACATCGATGCCAGGGTGAAGCGCCAAGTCGAGGAAGAAGATGCAAGGGAAAAAGAGGCATGGGAGAAGGAAAGGCAGGCCAAGGAGCTCCTGGAGTATGAAAGGGACAGGGCGGAGCAAGAAAAAGGAAGATGAAGTGCGATATGAGGCCTTGCAGGCCCAATATGCCCAGGAGTGGGACGACTGGGTCCTGTGGCGATCCATGCACTCAACGAGTCCTGCAAGAGAGAGGCCGGCAAAGAAGCAGAAGCTGGTGCTGACACTCCAGGTGCAAGGGGAGCTGAAGCCGGCAACCAAGTTGGACTTCAACGTCACGCCGGGCATGCCGATGGCTGTGGGCTTGACCTGGACGGTGGTGGATGAGATGGCTGCGGATGGTGCTGGTGGGCGAGCTGGACGTGGAGAACAAGCGAGTGGCAGTGGCAGCTCCACAGAACGCGTGAGCCCGTTGACACCTGAGAAGCCAGCTGAGTTGCATCTGAGTAGGGAACGTCCTGTGCAGGTTTCGGGGCAAGGGCTCATTACTGAGGCTGAGCTAGCGGCTTTCATGACGGGGGATGAGGGACAGAGTGTCTTTGATGCCTGGAGCAGTGGAGGGTTTACGTCGGAGCAAGTGCAGCGCCTGTATGGCCAACATGTCCTTGAGGCTTTCATAGCCACCCAGCTAGTCTTGGAAACCGGCACCCAGAAGGGGTAGCAGGGTTGCGGTGAACCGCCTGGGCCTATGGGACCCTTTGTTCTGCAGAGAGCAAAAGAGGCGCTCAAAAAAAAAAACCTAAA